CTGGACTTGGCTTCCCGGCTCCGGGAGCGGGCGCGTGGCGTCCAGCCGCGGGGAGCGCGGTCCGGGGGACGAGGCGCCCCGGTGGCCACGGCGGGCTTTCTCTTTTGGGAGCGTGGCCCCCGGTTCGTGGTCCCAGCGGCCTCGTTCCGAAAAGCAGTGCCGGCCACCATTTAAGACGTGAAGTAACTTTCTTACCCATCCAAGGGGATGCAGCCGATCTTTTTTTTTTAAACCGAATTGTGGCCACCCAGAGTATTTCCATCTGTGTCATCTGTGCTTGGTAGCGCGGTGCTTAGGGAGGAACAGCGGCTTTCATTTCCCGGAACCCTTGGAAGGCCGAGGGGAAGGATGGCCCGAGCCCAGCAGGCCCCGTGGCTGTGAGCTGCCCCTGCCCCTGCCCTCCAGCCTGGGCGACGGAGGGAGACTCCTGGTCAAAAAAACAAACAAAAAACCCCAGAATTCCCGGGCCTTAAAAAATGTTGTTTCCGTTGGCTGTTGGCACCTGATGTTTGTTCGGACTCTTGTACCTATGTACGAGGGGAGACCGAAAGAACCCCGGAATGTATTTGTTCAAAACTGGATTTATTCGTGCACGTTTACATTCCAGGCACTTTCCGGGCACCCGCCGCGTCATGCACTTCACTCTTAGGTCGCTCTTTCCGCTGCTTGAAACAGATTTTGAACTCGTCCAGGTGGTGCCTTTTGGTGCTTCTGTCGTTTTTGTTTTAGTTCTCCCATATCGCAGAACATTGTTTCCCTTTGAAGACTTCTTTCGCCTGGTGAAACAAAAAGGAGTCGCTCGGGTGGAGATTGGATGAATAGGGAGGGTGGGGCACGAGGGTCTCGTCGTTTGGGGCCAAAAAGCTGCCGGCCGTCCCTGTAGTGAAAGGGGCGAGCGTGCTGAAAGGGTCTCCAAAAAGACGTCTTCAGTGAACCCCCACGCAGCCTCTGGCGGCAACGCGCTGGCTGGTGCACAGATTCCATGGGGCTCCTAGGGCATTCCCCGGGAGGGGAAGCTGAACTGCAAGGGGCCTACCCTCCGGAAGATCACTCGGTTTTTGGGGTCCCCCCTCAATGCATTTCCTGGTCGTCATACTTAGAATGCTTTTCTTCTCCTTGCCCCAATTATAATTCAAGGCTGAACTCAAATGCTCTTTCCTTGGTATAACTTTTTTAAACTGTTTCTCAGAAAGAGAAACTTCCATGATATTTTCTGTATTCCACCTACCATAGAACCGAAAAGATAAATATCGCAAAAGAGTTGTTTGTTGAATAATAAATTATTTTTGCCCTCTTTTATTTCGTATGTCTTTGATAGACAGGACCTCAAAACTTAGCACATTTTAGATAGCATAACAAAAAAAATGACTGGATTTAGAACCAGAAACTTCAGCTCTCTTATGATAACTGTGTGATTCTGAGCAATTTATGTGGCGTCTGTGAGCTTCCATTTTGTCCCTTATAAGATGAAAGGCACATTTATAAGAATGTTGTGAGATTTATTCAAGGTAATGTGTATAAAAGATTCATCAAGATGTGAAGCTGTGTGCAGTGGTGCACATCCGTAGTCCCAGCTACTCCTGAGACTTATGCAGGAGTATTACTTGAACCCAGGAGTTCGAATCTAGTGGGGGCAAAATAGCAAGACCCTGTCTCTTACAAGAAATTAAAAATAAATAAAAGGACTTGAACTATGTATGAATGAGACAATAAATGAATAAATAAGTGAATAGTGAAGTCCTGACTGAGTATTCAAGTCTGTAGTGTAAAACTATCCAAAAACAATAGTAAAATGCATGTGTATAAAAGCAGTAATGTAATGATACTGTTATATATGTGTGTGAAGTATAATAGAAATCTTCAAGTCAACCCTTTGTCTTTACTTTGTATCAGACAAATAAGTAACTTTGTGCCTGATTTATGTCCACAGACTAGCAACATCAGCATTACCTGGCACTTAGTAATGGTCATCTACCGTAATCATATTTTGCGTTTTGACAAGATTCCTCAATGATTCATATGTATATTAAAGTTTGAGAAGCACTTGTTCAGAATGTTATGAGAGATCAGAAGAGGAGAAAATTATTTCTATCATAGAAAAGTATTTTTATCTAGAAGATTAGGAAAAATGTAACAAAGGTGACATTTTGTCGAACTTGGAGGAACAGATAATAGGGTACAAAGGAGGAAGTGTTTAACTGTGCAGTAAGTGATCAAGGAAGTCTTCAGAGACTTCATTTTGAAGGATACATAAGAGTTCTTCAGACTGAAAAGGGTGATGAGCATTCACATAAGAACTGTCCAAGTACGACAATTGGCAGAGTAGAGGCAACCTCTGTATCTTACACTTCTCAACCTTCACAGACCCCAAACGATGTTGATTTAGACCATGAGCTCCGTGAGGCTAGAAACTGTGCTGTACTGCGTAGCTGTAGCATACCCCCGACTCGCATGGAACCTGGCGCATGGCAGGCACTCAGTACAAGCTGAATGAATGAATGACTGTATGATGCCTTTTGAGGAAGATAAAGGTGCTGTGCTGCCAGAACTGAAGCCAACACTAACTCCACAGAGATGCAGTTAGTACTTGGAAAGGGCAGAGAAACCAAGCAAGAAAGATGAGCTGAGCCATCCTCATTTTTTTGTTGCTCTCAGCATCTTTGTGTGTATACAGAAAAGCTCCCATGGTGGGAGGAGACCCAAAGGGGTTGCCCCTTCCTCCCAGTCTTAAAGGAAAGATGTCTTTCTTTCCTAGGATAAGCCTGTATTAGTGCTTTTATTCCCATCTCTACCTGCCTTGGGCTCTTTCTCTTCTCCATTTTTCTTCCTAGCATTTTCTGTTTCTCCTTCTTTTCTTCCATTTCTACTACTACTCCCTCCTAACTGACAGAACCTTGAATTAAATCTACTACTTGCCCTTTTCCTTATTTTTGCAGCCAAATGATTCCTGCTGTTTTCCTTTTCCTCAGCATTGAGCAACCCCCTACCTATGGATCCGCACTTGCTTCCTCTTGTCTGCAGCAATGCTTCCCAAAGCGGAAATGGTTCCCTGAAAACCTAAGTTTGGTGAATAATGTGTCAGGCAGTTAAACAGTGTCCTCTTATAGAATTCTCAGGGCCTTTAATATGCTGATCTTAATTCTAAAAATCCAAGCGGGAGTTGTATAGTATGTAGAGTTTTCCAACTTAGTGAGCATCAAAAACCTTTTATGAAGAGCATCTCTTGGGATACAGATTCCACAGAACATGCATAAAGAAACAGACTATAAGATAAAGACAAGGGGTTTTTTGTTTGTTTGTTTGTTTTTGCCTGATATTTATGCTTTTAACAATTTGTCTCCAACTTATCTTCCACAACTTTTGGAGATGAGCTCTGTGCCTGTGATAGGGCTTGGGCTTCCGCGCCTTTGTGCCTGCCATGTCTTTTCCTTGGAATGATTTCTCATACCTTTTCCACCCACCCAGCCATCCCTCATGGAAAATTCAGGATCTGCCTCCATAGCCTTCTTGAGCACGTCTCTGATTATTTAGGCCTCTTTACTCGCATGACACCTGTGGTTGGGTAATCAGCAGTACCCATCGTCGTGCACCTACAGAAGAGTGCTTTACAGAACTGATGGGGCTATGTGTTACATCTTATCTCAATGAGGTTTTTGCATTGTAATATAATTCACATTAGCTTCACTCTTTTTTTTTTATTTCAGAGGTGAGATCTCATCAAGTTGCACAGGCTGGTCTTGAACCCATAGTCTCAGGCAGTCCTCTCACCTCAGCCCCCCAAAGTGCTGGGATTATAGGCGTGAGCCACCACGCCCTGCCAGCTTCACTCTTTTAAAGCTTACAATTCAGTGATTTTAGTTTAGTCACAAAGTTGTGGATCTGTTGGCACCGTCTAATTCTAGGACATTTTCATCACCCCATTCAGTCACTTCGTATTCTTCCCTCCCATTCTTCCCTCCTAGCAGCTGGCAACCGCTAATCTGCCTTCTGTCTCTATGGATTTGCTCTGTATTTCATAGAAATGGGATAACATGTGGCCTTTTAATGTAGATTATTTCACTTAGCATGTTTTATTTTTATTTTTTATTTTTTTGAGTGGGAGTCTCACTCTGTCGCCCAGACTGGAGTGCAGTGGCCACCCTCGGCCACTGCAACCTCGACCTGCTGGGCTCCGGCAATCCTTCCGCCTCAGCCTTCCAAGTTGCCGGAATTACAGGCACACGCTACCACGCCTGGCTAAAATTTTGATTTTTATTGTAGAGATGAAGTCTCACCAAGTTGCCCAGGCAGATCTCGAACCCACGGGCTCAGGCAGTCCACTCACCTCAGCCTCCCAAAGCACGGGATTACAGGCTGAGCCACTGAGTCCAGCTACTTAGCATGTTTTAAAGGTTCATCTATGTTGCAACATGAAATCAGTAGCCCCCTTTTTTTTTTTATTGAGTTGGAGTCTCACTCTGTCACCCAGGCTAGAGTGCAGTGGCACACTCACGGCCACCCCAACGTCAACCTGCTGGGCTCCAGTGATCCTTCTACCTTAGCCTTCCATGTGACCAGAACTACAGGCGCTTGCCCAGCTAATTTTTGATTTATTGTAAAGACATGGTCTTGCCAAGTTGTCTGGGTTGGTCTTGAACCCGTGGGCTCAGCCTCCCAAAGTACTGGGATTACAGGCTGAACCACTGAGCCTGGCCAGTAACCTGTTTTATTTTGGTGGCTGAATATTTCATTGTTTGGATAGACTGTCAATTCAATTTTAATCTCCTCAAAGTATCTCATTCTTTATATCACCTTTGGGGCATTATAGAAGTAAGTAATCCATAAATATCTGTTGATGGATTTATTAGTTGATCAATGTTGAAAGTGAGGAAGATCTCAGCCTGTAATCCCAGCACTTTGGGAGGCTGAGGCAAGTAGATTGCCTGAGTCTGCGGGTTCGAGACCCGCCCGGGCAACTTGGCAAGACCTTGTCTCTACAATAAACCAAAAATTAGCTGGTTGTGGTAGCACTCACCTGTAGTTCCAGCTACTTAAAAGACTGAGGCGGAAGGATCACAGTGCCCAGCAGGTCGAGGCTGCGGTGGCCAGGAGCGTGCCACTGCACTCCAGTCTGGGCGACAGAGTGAGACTCCAACTCAAAAAAAAAAAAAAAAAAAAAGTGAGGAAGATAATAAAGTGGAAATAACTTAGTGTTTGTGTTATAGATCCGTTTGCCAAAGACCAGAAACTTGTCTCTAGTCTCATATTCAGTTGGCCATAAAGTTATTTCTCATGTTTAGTTGGTCATAAAATTATTTGAATATATTCAGAACCGCTATATAATTCATCTGTTTTTCTCTCTTCACTGACATTGCCTTAGTTCAAGGCTTCTCTACCTTATCATTTCTTATCTATATTTTTGCTTCCTGGCCAAACACCCTGCCCAAGAGTCTTTCCTCCTCAAATAGGACAACTACGATTATGTTTCTAAAATACAAATCTAATTTTCTCTATTTGCTTTACTAAAAATCTTTAATGTCACTTCTTAATTCAAGCTGTTTGTCCTTTCATTAATTTATATAACTAACACACACAATAATCGGTTGCCTGCTGTGGGCCAGGTACTATTATAAGGCATGGAGGTATACATACAAAAAAAGTTAAACCCCCACATAGTCTCTCCCCTCATGGAGTTTATAGACATTAATCAAATAATCACACAAATAATATAATTATATACAGTGATAAATGCTACAAAGGAAAAGTGGAAGGAACTCTGAAAGGAACCTACCTAGGTCTGCCAGATCAAGGAAAACAGGCTTGAGCCACCAAAGATTTGTATCTTAAAAAGAGTGTTCTGGATACAGTGAAGAGAATGGATTGGAAGGAGACAAAAATGACTAGGAGAAGAGAAGTTAGTACACCATTATAATCAGGAAGGTAGGAGTTGATAGTTTGTGTTAACTTGGTGCTGATGGTCGAAATGAAAGGTGGACAGGTTCAGCTCAGAAAATACTGACACTGGCTAGACACGGTGGCTCACACCTATAATCCCAGCACTTTGTGAGGTGGAGGTGAGAGGACTGCCTGAACCCAGGGGTTCGATACCAGTTCGGGCAACTTGACGAGAGCTCAACTCTATAATAAATAAAAATTAGCCAGGCGTGGTGGCACACTCCTATAGGTCCACCTACTTGGAAGGCTAAGATGGAATGATTGCCTGAGCCCAGCAGGTTGAGGTTGCAGTGGCCGTGAGTGTGCCACTGAACTCTAGCCTGGGCAACAGAGTGAGACTCTGGCTCAAGAAATTTTTAAAAAGCAAAAATACTGACAGACTTTAGTGGTGGGTTGGATGGAGGGGGAGCATGCCAATAAAACAAACTTAAGTCAGGCTCAGTGGCTCACACCTGTAACCCAGCACTTGGGGAGGTGGAATGGAGAGGTATTACTTGAGCTCAGAGGTTTGAGACTAGCCTGGGCAACTTGGTCCAGTCAATCGAAAAATTAGCTGGGTGTGGTGGTGTGTGCCTGTAGTTCCAGCTACTTGGAAGACTGAGGCTGAATGATCGCCTGAGCCTGGCAAGTCGAGGCTGTAATAGTGGCCATGCACTCCAGTCTGGGCGACAAGAGTAAGACTCCAACTCCAAACAAACAAAAAGCTTCGAGGATAATCAGGCTTTTAGCTTACAGTGTTGGATAGATAGTGGTATTAGTCACTGAAATGCAGTGGAGGAAAACCTGAAATATCTCAGTTTTGGAATATTGAATTTGAGATGTCTTTGAGATGGTGACAGGGAAATGTGAAGTTGACAGTTGGTTACATTAGGTGAAGAAGACTAGCTCAATATATTGCATTTCAAGTTCGGCCTTCCTCAGTCTTCTTAATCCCTATATAAAAACGATAGTATCTGTAGCTGAAAGTATGTTATTGTGATCAGTAAATTGTGGACATGATAATGCAGTAACTATTGTCAGTACTTCTTTGAGTAAATGATATTTTTCTGCCATTTAGTACCATAGCCCTTTTTGTGTGAAGTTGCCCTTCCCTGAAAGAATGTCACCTCTAATACAAGATAGTAGTGTAGACAGAGGACCCCTTTTTTTTTTTTAACAAGTTTTTCACTTTTCTTTCTTTCTTTTTTTTTTTTTTGAGTCGGAGCCCAGACTGGAGTGCAGTGGCCACTCCCGGCCACCGCAGCCTCGACCTGCTGAACTCCGGCGATCTTCCGCCTCAGCCTTCCAAGTAGCCGGAACTTCAGGCGCACGCCACTACGCCTGGCCAATTTTTTGATTTATTGTAGAGATGAGGTCTCGCCAAGTTGCCCAGGCAGGTCTCGAACCCGCAGGCTCAGGCAATCCACTCACCTCAGTCCTCCAAAGCGCTGTGATTACAGGCTGAGCCACCAAGCCTGGCTCCGGCTACTTTTCAAAAAGTACATTCATGTAGGTCTTATCACAAATACCTTCTGTACAATAATAACTTTTTCTCCCAATTTGAAAACTGAAAATGACTTTTTAGCCAACCTTTCTTGAGGGGAAAAAAGTAGTTAAGCAAGGCTTACCATTTTTAAGAAATTAATTTCTTCTCATAAATTTTAAA